GGAAAACTCATCCCCATGGAACGACCTTTACATAGGACGTATCCGTGCAAATAGCAGCAGGATGGCAGCTATCCTGGGGAGAAATAGGAATTCATAGTCATACACACGGTGACTGGATCGGAAAACTCATCCCCATGGAACGACCTTTAAATAAGACACAGCCTAGCAAATAACAGCAGGATGGCAGCTATCCTGGGGAGCAATAGGAATTCATAGTCACACACACGGTGACTGGATAGGAAAACTCATCCCCATGGAACGACCTTAACATAAGACGTATCCGTACGAATAGCAGCAGGATGGCAGCTCTCCCGGGGAGCACAGCGGGGATATAGTTATATTCACACAGGCGGTGACTGGATAGGAGGGACTCATCCATTGATCACTGATCCTAGCATACCGATGTCGGGTGGCCCAGCAGCAGCAGCAGCAGCGGCGGCGGAGGAGGAGGAGGAGGAGGAGACAGCTTGTGTCATTTGTGACAGGGCGAGGCTGGCGACACACGAAATAGCTCGAGTCGTGAGTCAGTGCCGCCGCCGCCGCCGCCGACCCTGTTGCTGCTGCTGCTGATAATGCTGCTGCTGCTGCTGCTTAGCTTGGCTACTGCTGCTGCTGCTGCTACAGCTGCTGCTGCTGCTGCTGCGGTTACTGCCGCTACTGCTACGATACAAGGGGCAAGCCCACTACGTCCGGAGACGGACAGTCATTCATGAGCACACGTAATATGAGAATGAGATGGTGCATGACCAACCCTTACATGAGGAGGATGATGACCGGCCAAGCTGGGAATGGTTCACAGGAAGCCTATTATTGATGCTGTTGTAATGAGAGAGCGAGTGAGAGGGGAGGCAGAGAGAGGGAGCGGGAGAGGGAGTGGAGAGAGAGGGGGAGGGAGAGGGAGCGGGAGAGGGAGCGGGAGTGGAGAGAGATGGAGAGAGGGAGAGAGATATAAGAAAGAAAGAGAGACAGAGAGAAGGGGGAAGGCGAGATGAGGGAGCAGAGCGGAGAGAGGGGAGAAAGAGCGCGCTGGTGGATAAACAGGGAACCATTTACAGCACCACATCTGCCTCGTGTTGTGTGTGTGTGTGTGTGTGTGTGTGTGTGTGTGTGTGTGTGTGTGTGTGTGTGTGTGTGTGTGTGTGTGTGTGTGTGTGTGAGGATGTGAATATAAAAAAGACGTTGAAACGATAATACTCGCACAAAGAAGGGCTGGTTACAGCTGCAAGTTTATCAAACTGAGATTATATACAATAGCTAAACCGGCATGTCATTATTTAGCAGGATTTTTAATTCCCACTAACAGGGGAAATATTAGGGTTTAATATTTTGTTGACTAATTATTATTGTATATGTTTTCAAGAATAAGATTTGGAATCAGAAATCCGTTCTAAAAAATCCACGGGTTTATAATCTACACCAGTAAATCCCCGGATTGCAGAGTTTCACCGTGAAAGACGAACCGGCATAAATTCCTCGCTTCCCAATGGGAAAAGGCCACCAGGAATATACATTCGCGAGCGGCCAGGCAGCAGGGCAAGCTAAATTTAGCAGCAGCGAGATGATATAAGGGGGATCGGCAGCGTAAGATGATGACTCACGACTCCCGGTTTAATCATGCACATTATAAGGATGCAAAAACATGGCCTGCAGGATAGGCATGTTTCGCCCGGGAGTAAGCACGGTATTTATAGCAAACACACCCGCGCGCGCACACACACACACGCACACACAGACAGACGCACACGGATGTACGACGGCACGCACCCACCACCCACACACCACCCACACCATCTTGTACACGCGCAAAGTAGTTCTGTATTTAAACACATAACGCAGCCAAAAACACCTGCACCCAACAGGCATCTCCTGGTATTGCTAAGAGATCCCCTGGGGAGACGGGGTTGCCCATGCATGGGAAATTAACAATGATGGGATGCAGACGTCCAATTGTGTCCGTTAAGTTTTCGGAATTTTGTAATTTTGGGATTGAGTATTTTAGAATTTTGGAATTGAATGGGATTGTCATACGCCATAAAATTCGGTCAATCCGATCACTCTCTTGCTCTCTTCCTCTGTGTATCATGCCCCACCCCTCCTACATCCTCCCATGTCCCTCTCCCTTTCCCTCTATTTCTTCCGGTCTTTCCCACCTCCCTCCTCCACCTTTCCTCCATTATTACCTCTATCCGTCCGCCCCTTCCTCCCCTCGTCCCATCCTATCCTCGTTTTCCTTCTCCACCCCTTTCTTTCTCCATCATTATCTCTCTTACTCTACCATTTCCCTTATACACTTCCCTAAATTCCATAGGTCTCTCTAACATTCACACCTCGTCTTTTGCTCCTCCTCTCTATCTCTCACTCTTCCTCTCCCAATCTTGCTCGTTCTATACCACTCGCCTTTTCTCCGGCAATCTGAGTTAATTTCTTTCTGCTCTCCTGCTCACGTTTTCAACATTTCTCAGCAAGATATATTTAGTCTACAGTATATTTACACGCGCGCGAACGTATAGCAACGCCAGTGGCGATGATACACGCTTTCAGTAATTTTGTTTCCATTTCGTTAACATCGATCAACAGCTAGAAGCAACGCGGACATACTATCAGGAGTGAATAATAATAGATCTATCTCTATATATCTATTGTGCATGCGTGCGCGTGTATGTGTGTTTGTGCGTGTGCGTGTGCGCGTGTGTAGGTACGTGCACGTGTGCGTGAGTGTGTGTTTGTCGGCGTGTGCGCGTGCGTGCGTGTACGTATATTACCAAGAATCCATTAACCCCAGAGCGTACAACGCGTAAGAACATCGTAGAGACAAGCGGTTGATCTTATATTGGCTAGCTATGACTCCTGCATAATATTCCCGTAGAGAAGTATCAAAATAAGGTAGGTAAACTTTATTAATTTTGCTGAAACGACACCATGGTTTTCCTATTTCAGCGTTGTACGCTCTGGGGTTAATAGGCTCTTAATATTACGTATATATGTTATAGAGCGTCTACGTCCACGATAGAGAGCGCAGCGACCACGCGCGTTCAGCAGCCACCCTACATCATAATGAGCGCGCGGGTGTAAAAACACGTAAATTGGTTAGTAGACACACACCGCCACTGAATTATGCATGCCGAACTCCTGCGCTACACTCGATATAACAAGCCATTCACAGGCAAAAGAGAAGCGAATCAATCAAGCGGCCTGTCCATCACAATAAGAAACCGACTGGCAAAGTTACTCGTGCGTCTGTCCTAAGCATGTGCAGCTATCAACTTCCCCTAGCGAAGGAGACCGAATAAAACCCGCCCGAAACGAAAATCGAAAAACATGAAAGGAATGCCGAGCATGTTCGAGTGGAGAACACGAAGATCGAAATAATGTTCTGGAAGCACTTTCGGTTAATACCAGGACGATAATGGAGTAGAAACAAATTCATCATCGTCAGAGACGCTTGGACACAAACTTCCTACTCGAGCCGATAGGCATCGTCGATAAAAGCACGCCCGATTTTTCAAATTGAAATTCGCTTATTTGTCATTAATATTGAACAGGGAGAGTTTTCCTGTTTTCAGGCGGTCTAATTCTAAGGGAAACCATTAACTGAATTTTAGCAGAAAGCTAGTAATTGCATGGTCCTAGTATTCTGGGTTATCAATTTTGAGTAAAGTTCTGACAACAATATGACTTATTTTTGACACCTACCCAGCCATTAAAGTAATTAACAATTAAAAGTAGTTTAACTTACTACTTTTATTAGTTACTTTCAGTATAACAAAGGTCAGGGTCAGGGTTCAAGGGTTCGCAGGCGCTGAGGTCATCAGCATCCCACTCGTCCTTGTCTTACGTCGTCAGCTCGATGTCAGGGTTAAGGTCAAGGTCAGGGTCAGGGTCAGGGTCAGGGTAATAGCTCACCTGTGACTTCTTCATGACGGTGAGATCGTCAGCGTCCCACTCGTCCTCGTCGTACGTCGTCAGCTGCAGCACGCGGATGATCTCGTTGATCTCATCCGTCATCCGCTGCACCAGGTAGTTCCTGTTCTCCTGAGATTCCTTCAGGCCGTTCCCTCCTGCAGCGGAAGGGGATGGGATCGTAACATGACGTGAAGGGTTGTAACGTGACACGAGCGGTTGTAACATTACGTAAAGGGTGGTAACGTGACGTGAAGGGCGATAGACGTGACAAGAAGAGTTGTATTGTGACGTGAAGAGTGGTTTCTATCTCTATATATCTAGATAAGATCTATCTCTATATATCTATATAAGATCTATCTCTATATATCTAGATAAGATCTATCTCTATATATCTATATAAGATCTATCTCTATATCTATATAATCTATTATTATTCACTCCTGATACTATCTAGGTGTTTCCAGTTATTAGTCCCTGTATGTACGGCTGTCTGATAATAACAACATTGAATAATAATAGAAATTAATCTATTATTATTCACTCCTGATAACAAGATAAACAAGCAAGACTTACTTGCACATCTATTTTACAGACTTCAGTAATGCACACGAGTACAGTGCATTTATTGTTATGTATACACATTAATGGAGTATATTTCATCATTACCCTTGCTGTAAGAGTGCCATAGCTATTACATCAGCACGTGGTAGCACGAGTGGCAACGTATATTTAATGTACGATATATCAGGGCGTGGAGAGGTGTGACTATGCAAATAATTCGCAGCCAACCATCCAAACGTACAGACAGATTACATCCTGCCTGCCTGCTAGTTCAAAAGGTATTCATTAGCCTTAATAAAATTGTCAAATCATATTTTCAATTCAGAAAAAAAGACGAGTACAAAAATCAGTACGATAATGACACACGAGTACACAAATAATTTCTGACCGGATATTGAGCTCAAATCAATAATGGTGGCTTATATATCTCCATGAAATCCCACGCAACAAGGGAGGCAATATGAGAAACGTGTCCAGCGTGCTCAAACCCACACATAATAGAGAAGATAGTTGGGGAAACGTGCCATGAGTGCTCGAACATCCCACACCTAACAGAGAGACCAGTATGAGAAATATGCCCCGAGGGATCAACCCACTCTCCCTGGCCCAATATCTCAAAATTCCCCCCAGAGGAAATTATGCGTATCGGTGATAATATAATTGAGGAGTGTTGTAACTGACCTATACACTCGGTGCTAGTGACAGGCAGCTCCAACCCATAATAGTGACGATAGAATGTTTATTGTTATATAAAAGACAATGCCCAGCAACGACGTGCAGCAATGTTTGGCAAGCTGAAATTTGGCGCGCAATCGCGAAAGACACGTATAAAAGCTGGTCTAGCCTTGTCCGACTTATTAATTAGTAAGCAACGATATTCACGTGGAGGGGTGTGGTTATCTCGCTCAGACAGTGAGCTCAATCAACGAGCTGCACATTTGCATGCATCGTGTCAACTTTGCGGCACTTTATTGATGAGAACTGTCTTTAGCACGTAACATTGCAACCGCGATTGGCTAGAGATGCCTGTCAATCATACAGAAGAACTCGAGGGGGTAATCGCTATGTAGATTGTATCGTGGTGCGCGGATCAGGCAACAATGGCGGGGCAGAGCATAGGTAGTACTCCCGTACATACACTATTAACGGGGTACAATACCGTACGGTATACACACTTTGTATAAGTGGCGACCAAATAAGAGTGACGCATAGTGTGTGAAAGTAGTGTAGCTCCTCTGGCTAGCGTAAGGGCGTAGCAGCAACGCGTACGCATGGGCGCCGCCACTCACCGAGTCCCCTGAATCTGACACTGGTCATTATTTTGATGTAAATGTCATACATACAGTGCACGCTTCAAAGAGAATAGTACGCATAGGCGCAGGCACTCACCGAGTCCCCAGAACCACCGGTCATTATTTTGATGTGCATGTAATTGTGTTATTTGTGTTATTTTGGTAATATAAAATAATAAGTAATAATACAGTGCACGCGTAAGGGCGTAGCAGCAACGCGTTCACCATGCACCCACGCGTGCGCCGGCACTCACCGAGCCCCCTGAACCACACCGGTCATTATTTTTACGTACGCCGTAAGGGCGTGGTACGCGCGCGGGCGGGCGCCGCCCCACTCACCGAGTCCCCTGTCATCGTACTGCGGGTTGCGCAGCCACTTCTGCGCCTGCTCGACGCGCCCGAAGACGGTGTGCGCCGGCTGCTCGACGCCGCTCTTCTCGCTGTTGCTAATCGCCTGCTGCACGAGCTGGTTCAGCTTCAGGAGGCTCGAGTCGATGTTCTTGGCGAGCGCCAGCGCCTGCGGACTCGTGCCCTGCGCGAAGAAGAGAAGAAGGTGAGAGGCGGCGCAGGAGAAGGTGAGAGGCGACGCAGGAGAAGGTGAGAGGCGGCGCAGGAGAAGGTGAGAGGCGGCGCAGGAGAAGGTGAGAGGCGGCGCAGGAGAAGGTGAGAGGCGGCGCAGGAGAAGGTGAGAGGCGGCGCAGGAGAAGGTGAGAGGCAACGCAGAAGAAGGTGAGAGGCAACGCAGAAGAAGGTGAGAGGTGACGCAGGAGAAGGTGAGAGGTGACGCAGGAGAAGGTGAGAGGCAACGCGGAGGAGGAGGTGGCGGAGGAGAAGAAGGTGAGAGGTGACGCGGAGGAGGAAGAGGTGGCGGAGGAGGAGGAGGAGGCGAGAGACGCGCCTGCGCATGCGGACTCGTGCCCTGCGCGAGGAAGAGAAGAAGAAAGAAGGTGAGAGGCGGCACAGGAAAAGGTGAGTGGCGAGCGCCTGCGCCTGCGCGAAGAAGAGAAAAAGACGAGAGGTGATGCGGAGGATGCGGCGAAAGAAGCGCCTGCGGGCTCGTGCCCTGCGCGAGGAAGAGAAGAAGGTGAGAGGCGGCGAGGAGGAGGAAGCGAGAGACGTGTCTGCTAAGAAGAGAAGGTGAGAGGCGGCGCAGAGGAGGAGGCAGCGAGAGACGTGTCTGTGGACTCGTGCCCTGCGCGAAGAAGAGAAGAAAGTGAGAGGCGGCGCGGAGTAGGAGGAGGAGAAGGCAAGAGACGTGGCTGCTAGGAAGAGAAGGTGAGAGGCGGCGCAGAGGAGGAGGCAGCGAGAGACGTGTCTGTGGACTCGTGCCCTGCGCGAAGAAGAGAAGAAAGTGA